CCACTCACAATTGCTGCAAAGAGAATTAAATACCTAGGAATACAACTAACAAAGGGCCTGAAGGACCTCTTCAAGGAAAACTACAAACCACTGCTCAAGGAAATAAGAGAGGATACCAACAGATGGAAAAACATTCCATGTTCAAGATTAGGAAGAATGAATATTGTGGAAATGGCCATACTGCCCAAAGTAATTTATAGATTCAATGCTATCTCCATCAAATTACCATTGACCTTCTTCACAGAACTGGAAAAAACCACCTTAAACTTCATATTGAACCAAAAAAGAGCCCATAGAGCCAAGACAATCCTAAGCAAAAAGAGCAAAGCTGGAGGCACCATGCTACCTGACTTCAAACTACTCTACAAGGCTACAGTAATCATAACAGCATGGTACTGGTACCAAAACAGAGATATAGACCAATGAAACAAAACAGAGGCCTCAGAAGTAATGCCACACAACTACAGCAATCTGATCTTTGACAAGCCAGACAAAAGCAATGGGGAAAGGATTCCCTGTTTAATAAATGGTGTTGGGACAACTGGCTAGCCATGTGCAGAAAGCTGAAACTGGATTCCTTCCTTATACCTTATACAAAAATTAACTCCAGATAGATTAAAGATTTAAACATGAGACCTAACACCATAAAAACCATAGAAGAAAACCTAGGCAACACCATTCAGGACATAGGCATAGGCAAGGACTTCATGACTGAAACACCAAAAACAATGGCAACAAAAGCCAAAATAGACAAATGGGATCAATTAAGAGCTTCTGCACAGCAAAAGAAACAATCATTAGAGTGAATCAGTAACCAACAGAATGGGAAAAATTTTTTGCAAGCTACTCATCTGACAAAGGGCTAATATCCAGAATCTACAAAGAACTAAAACAAATACACAAGAAAAAAGGCAAACAACCCCATCAAAAAATTGGTGAAAGATATGAACAAACACTTTCAAAAGAAGACATTTCTGCAGCCAACAAACATATGAAAATATGCTCATCATCACTGCTCATTAGAGAAATGCAAATCAAAACCACATTGAAATACCATCTCTTGCTAGTTAGAATGGCAACCATTAAAAAATCTGGAGACAACAGATGCTGGAGAGGATGTGGTGAAAAAGAAACAGTTTTACACTGTTGTTGGGAGTATAAATTAGTTCAACCATTGTGAAAGACAGTGTGGCGATTCCTCAAGGATCTAAAACTAGAAATACCATTTGACCCAGCAATCACATTACTGGGTATATACCCAAAGGATTATAAATCGTTCTCTTATAAAGACACATGCACACACGTATGTTCATTGAGGCACTGTTTACAATAGCAAAGACTTGGAACCAACCCAAATGCCCATTAATGATAGACTGGATGAAGAAAATGTGGCACATAGACACCATGGAATACTTTTCAGCCATTAAAAAGGATGAGTTGATGTTCCTTGCAGGGACCTGGATGAATCTGGAAACCATCATTCTCAGCAAACACAAGAGCAGAAAACCAAACACTGCATGTTCTCACTCATAGGTGGGTGTTGAACAATGAGAACACATGGACACAGGGAGGGGAACATCACACACTGAGGTGTGTTTGAGGGTGGGGGGGGTTGAAGAGGGATAGCAGGGGGTGGGGAGGTTGAAGAGGGATAACATTAGGAGAAATACCTAATGTAGGTGATGGGGGGATGGAGACAGCAAACCATTATGGCATGTGTGTACCTATGTAACAATCCTGCAAGATCTGCACATGTACCCCAGAACTTAAAGTAAAAGCAAAAGAAAAAAAATGGCATTCACAGCAACCTGAATGTAATTGGAGACTATTATTCTAAGTGAAGTAACTCAGGAATGGAAAGCCAAACATTGTATGTTGTCACTCATGTGGGAGCTAAGCTATGAGGACACAAAGGCATGAGAATGATATGTTGGACTTTGGGGACTTGGAGGAAATTGTAGGGGGTGGCAAGGGATACAAGACAACACATTAGGTGCAGTGTGCACTGCTCAGGTGATGGGTGCCCCAAAATCTCACAGGTCAGCAGTAAAGAACTTATTCATGTAACCAAACACCACCTGTTCCCCAAAAACCTACTAAAATAAAAAAATAAAAACTTTTAAAAACTGCATCAACCAAAATATTTCTCTTTTGCCCAGGCTGCTAGGAGACTCTGGGACAAATCTAAATCTTCACTTCAGTAACTCATTTATCCCAAGTACCTAACAATATCTATATTCGATTTTCCTTTAAAAGCTAAAAGATAGTTTTTTCAACAAATAGTGCCAGAACCATCCACAGGAGAAAAAGTCCACACACACACGCCTTATACTCTACATAAAAATTAACTTAAAATAGAATACACACATAAATACAAAACTATAATACTCCTAGGAGAAAATCTAGATGACCTTGGGTTTGGTGATGACGTTTTAGATGTAACACCAAAGGCACTATCCATAAAAGAAAAAACTGGACTACGTGAAACTTGTAAATTTCTGCTCTGCAAGAGACACTGTCAAGAGAATGAAAAGGCAAGCCACAGGTGGGGGGAGAAAATATTTGCAAAAGAGACATAACAAAGGAAAAAATGTACAAAAATACAATAAAATAACACTGGATAGCAACACAAATCCACAGGAATAAATGCAAATATATATATTTATTTGCATTTGTTAGTATGGTAAACACTATATGTACTTGCTTTTATTTCTTAGCTTAATTAAAAGGCACAGTATTATATAAATAATTATAACAATGTATTTAATGTATATAGTTGCAATACACATAATAGTAGCACAAAAATGTTGAAGAGGGAATAATGTTATATGGGTGTAATATTTCTGTGTCTCACTGGAATTTGATTAGTATAAACTCAAGTAGAATCTAAAATTGGCTATTCAGAGCTACACAAATATGTGAACATCTTTAAAACCATTGAGCATTTTACATAGGCATATCACAGGTTATGTTTGTTATTTTGTAAAAATATCTCAATGCATTCCAGGCAGAATCGTATTTTAAAAGAATTAAAGCAATGAGAGGATACTGTGAGGGAGGAAACTTATGAATGTTACTAGATTGTGAGTTACTTTAGCACATAGATTCTCTTCCTAAACGCTTAACCTTATCTCCCCTAAAATGGTCTTCTTGTTGCCTCCCTGTTTATCTAAGAGTCTTCGCATACTGACTTGAAATGAACCATTCCTTCTTATGTGTACTAGTTGGACTAATAATCAGAGAGGCTAAAATATGACTGCTCATATTCCCTATTTTTATGTTTCTATAGATCTGTTTATGTTCACAAAATATAGCTGTGTACTTATAGAAAATATGTTCTTATGTGTCTTGGCTCATTTTGGTAATGATGCCTCTACTGGTCCATACTTTGGTTAGGATTTCACTGGTGGTATATTTGGGCTTCAAAAGTTACAATGTAATACTTAACATTTTCAAGAGCTCAGCCATTTCTTCAGAGCAAAACTTCCACTCTATGGTACCTGGGTCATTATAGGTTTCTTTAGTTACATAGTCTGTAACTTTAGTTACATAGTCTCCTATAAACAACTTTCTCTCACAAAATATTAGGTCGTTTAGTTGACCCAAATCACCCATCCTAATTGTCCGTTTTCAGCATTAACTCTCCTTTCATAACTTTCATGTAATTTTCCTGTTATATGACCTAGTCAGTAGTTTTCAAATCCAGCAAAAAATGCGAATCACATGAAAACTCCATTGTGAAGTCATGCAATCTCAATGCTGATGTTACTACAAGTTTACTTGCTTCATCCTCCCCAGCTACAAAGTCTACAAACTTAAGAAGATATGAAAGTCACATTTTCACATTCCACAAAATATCTAATTATTTTTTTACATTATTGATACATACTTGATTTACAGTTACAAATCTTAGAAATTACACGAAGTCTTTTTTAACAAATCAAAGAATTTTGCCCCACAATAACTCTCTCTGTGACTGTATAGACCATGGTTTGCAAATTGAACTATTTTTTTAAAATTATGTGTTTTATCTTACCAGGTATATCCCACAGTAGATAGTGCTATTGGTGTAAAATTTAAAGTTCTATTACATCATAAACTTTCTAGGATAATTTTAGTTTGCATAAGAGATGTCATTATATAGTAAAGTCAATTATAAAGTGTCAGTTTGTGCTTGTCATTATCTTGATGTGGTCATGTTCAAATCATGAAACATCTTGGAACTTCAATATAATAGGTTTAAATGATTGCCAGTAGCCCTTCAAATTCTGCTTTGTGATGCAATACAATGTCTGATACTGCAATCAGACATTATATTGTGCCTCTTCTACTATAATAAACTCATTACTAGTATTACACATGCACACACAACACACACACACATGAAATATTTACCTTATAAAATATATTGAAATCTGCTTTATTTCTATAGCAACTAGTAAGGAACTCTTGGCAGAGCTATTAGAAGGGGGATAATAAAGAGGTCAATTAAAACACAATTTAAAAGTCACCCAGGTAAAAAAACAATTCAAGACTAATATTTATGGTTTATTTATATTCCTGGAGGTAAGCATAAAGCTTTAATGACAATAGTACCAATATGTTAGTGTGACATAGGTAAAATTCTAAGTGAACATCCTCCTGTAATTAAACACACACACACGCAGAGATATGGTAATGTTTACCTTACAAAATATATTGATATCTGTTTATTTCTATAGAGCCTGCTAAGGAACACTTGACAGATGCTATTGGAAGAGGTATAATAAAGGGATCAGTCAATGTACAACTAAGAGCTCACCAGGGTAAGGAACAGAATTTTTCACATCTCATATTTATGGCTCATTTATATTCCCTGAGTTAAATTAAGTATAGACCTTTAATGACAAAAGTAGCTATATTAAAGTGTTACATAGGTAAAATTATGAATATCTTTTTATAATTAAACACACAAACACACGAGTATGGTAATGATATTGAAATCTGTTTTATTTTTATAGATATTGATAAGAACTTCTTTTCATATGCTATTGGAAGAAGTATAAGGAAGGAGTCAATGAAGGCACAATTAAAAAGTCACCCAGGTAATAAAAAACAATTTCAAGACTAACGGTTATTGTTTATTTATATTCCTGGAGTTAAATTGTATGTACATTTAATGGCAATAGTAACTATATGTTAGTATTACACAGGTAAAATTCTTCATGAATATCCTCCCACAATTACACACACACACACACACACACACACACACACACATACACACACACACACACAGAGAGAAAGGTATGCTAATGTTTACCTTATAAAATATATTTAAATCTGCTTTATTTCAATAGAGACCTATAAGGAATTCTTGGCAGATAATATTGGAAGAGGTATAATACTAGGGCCAATCATTACACAACTAAAGACTCACCCAGGTAAGAGAAAGAATTTTTCAAGTCTAATATTTAGGCTTATTTATATTCCCTGAGTTAAATTAAGTATAGACCTTTAATGATAACAGAACCTGTATCATAGTGCTTTCCATAGCAATAATGTTATTGGAAGAGATATCATAAAGGGACCATCAATGCACAATTAAAGAGTCATCAGGGTAAGAAAAATAATTTTTGAGTCTAGTATTTGTAACCTATTTATGTTCCCTGAGTTAAATTAAATAGAGACCTTTAATGACAACAGTTTCTACATGTTATTATTACATAGGTACATATATCATAGTATTACATTGGTAAAATTCTTCATGAATATCTTTCTATAATTAGTTAAACACACACATATACACATGTATGGTAATGTTTACCTTATAAAGTATTTTGAAATCTGTTTAATTTCTATAGAGACTGATAAAGGACTCTTAAAAGATGCTATTGGAAGAGATATAATAAAGGGACCAATCAATACACAATTAAAGAGTTACCAGGGTAAGAAAAAGAATTTTTGAGTCTAATATTTGTGACCTTTATTTGTTCCCTGAGTTAAATTAAGTATAGAACTTTAATGACAATACTGCCTACATGTTAGTGTTACATAGGAAAAAATCATCACGAATATCCTTTAATTAAGATCTAGTATATACTATCAGTGGAACATTAGCAATATATTATTGGTGTTAAAACTCATCCATTTGAAAAGTAATCCATAAAAATTCAGTGTTACAGTGGCCTTAGAGTAGCCTCAGTGTAGGCATTTCTAAAGCTATTCTACTTACTTTTTGTTTCTGGAAAGTTATATTTAATTCGCAAAAGCAGAAAGGCTGCGATGACAAGAGGAGTGTAACATAATTATTTCACTGGTTATCCATTCCCTCTATTTGATGAAAATGTCAGGCAAATCTATAAAATCTCACCTGCAATACAGTATTTTATTTGCGTTACATAATTCAGAGATTGTACTACTGGCTTGCATCTTGGTGTAAGCATGTTACATAGTTATATAATTATCTTTGATCTCCAGTATGATGCAGAAAGAGGCAGACAGCTTAACAGATAAATAAGGTAAAGAGACACATTCAAAGATGGCCCTTTAAATCCAAGGTACTGGATACATGTTCAAGGCTCTGCCCCTTGGAGAGCAGCAGTAGCACTTCACACTACAGGCAAGAGACTTTAGTACAATAGCCCAGTCACATGGCGATGCAAATAAATAAGGAGAGAACAGTGACAAGCCCCAGATAAAGGAGGAGGAAATCGGTATCTGGAGATGTTACAATATACTATGGAAACTGTCAAATCTTTTGCAAAATTATTAATGTGCAAAGAAATAGTGAAGTGTGACCTACACCAAGGAAAAGGGAATGCCACAATAACTGTTTGTGAGTCCCAGCTGTTCGATTTAGCCAACAAAACCTCAAAACACTTAGTATAAGTGTGTTCTTAGAATTAAAGGAAATTATTCTTAAGGAAGAAAAGGAAGGTAATACAAATATCAGCAAATAAGACAGAAATTTCAAAAGACAACACAGCAAAACCCTGACTCTACAAAAATACAAAAATTACCCAGGCGTGGTGGTACATGCCTATAGTCTCAGCTACTTGGAGGGGCTGAGGCTGGAGAATCACTTGAGTCGGGGAGGTTGAAGCTGCAGTGAGCCATGTTTGCACCACTGCACTCCAGCCTGAGTGACAGAACCAGACCCTGTCTCTAAAAACAAAGAAAAGAAAAAGAAATTGCAAAAGAAAAAAGAACTAAAAACATATCTAACATAAGTGGTTCCCTTACAAAGTGTTTTGAAACCTGTTTTATGTCTATAGAGACTGATATAGAGCCCTTGACAAATGCTATTGGTTCAAGTAAAACAACTGGTGAGACAAAGACACAACCAAGGACTCACTATGGTAAGAATAATAATTTTAAGTCTAATATTTACAGTTTAGTTATATTCTCTGGGGCTTAAGTATGAATCTTTAATGACAACAGTACCTACATGTTAATATTTCATGGGCAAATGTCTTCATGAATTTTCTCTTGTAATTAAGTTAAACTCTCATATTATCAATGGGAAATTAGCTACAGAGTTTTAAAACCTCTAGACAATGATTTTAAAAGTAGGTTTATAATTCTCTGTTTCAATAAATGTTTTCTATAATAATTCATGTTACTTTATAACAATAGGATTTATGAAAAATAAATCGAATAAACATTTGAATTGGGGTGAGGGGATCCAGTGGCTTACATGTAGACCTCCAATCTCCAAAACTGTCATCCTAAATGTTTCCTTTTAAATATAGACTACAGATCAATTATAGAAATGAACCTTTTGTCAAAGTAAAATGAAGTTGGGATAAACGTTGAAATTAAGGAAGATACTATCACAGAATGAAAAACAAAGACAATGATGAGAGACTGCACAGAAATTTAAGTAATAGACAAGTTGCCATTTAATAAAATGTTGGAAGAAAAATTACCAATGCAGAAATAAAGAGAGATACATGGAGTTGGGGACAAGTGTGTAAATAGTCAAGAGTATTCATGCACTGTTCCTTTTAAATTTTTATTTTAGATGTGAACGTATTTAAACATAAAGATATGTCCATACAACGTCAAGAAGGTATCTTTGCTAGGAGAATTACACCAAGTAAATTCCCAACAAAAGTGATCAATTTATCACCCTTTGAAAATAAAGGTAAAGAATTATGTATGAAGATATGAATTCAGTTCTAATTACTTACAACAGTTTTAAAGTATGCTTTTTCATTTATCCTTTTTGCATCTTACTTTTTTTTATTCAGCAATTCCTTAGGAAAATTCTTACAAGCCTAAAAATAAAATGGTTTTAATTCATTCTTTTTATTGGCAGCATGATACTTCATAATAAGAATACTTTATTCAATCATTCTATTAAAGAGCATTGATTTTTTAGGATTAAGATTTCTTATTAAAGTACACATGAATTTTTAATGTTAAATGATATTTCCAGATTGCTTTCCTAAAGGGCTATTAAAATTAACATTTTCATGAGCAATCTTGAAGGGAAATGCTTTTCTCTGCATAACTATCTGCAATATGGGTTGCTGGTTTTTTTTGTTTTTTCATTTATACCCATGTGAAATTTACTAAATTATATCTGATTCTTAATTTTTATTTCCATATTTGTTAGTGTTTTACTACTCCATATCCACCCTAAAACTTTAAGTTTTAAAGCATAAAACAGTAACCACTAAGATAACTGATGATCATCTTGGCTGGGCAAACTTAACGCATTTTTGGTCAAATTATCAATTTGCCCACATGTATAGAAATTGGCTGGCTGTTGTTTGAGACAATACTATATAGAGTGGGCCTGTTCAGTAAAGAGAAACTTCACTGGCTGTTCAAAAAGAAAGCAAGAATGTAAAAAGTAGATGACTAAGTATAAAGTTGTTAACTTGGTAACTGAAAGTATACAAAGAATTCTAAGGTTACCTGGAGGAAGCAATTACAGAAAAAAGTTGGCATACCCAGAACTGAAGGAGAACTCTGTGTAGAGTATAGATTGAATAGTGCTAGAGTTCCTGTTTCTTCAGGCAGGACCTTGGATCCATACTTCTGAAGTGGGGGCACTGGCCAGCTACTGCTAGTTTCTAAGCGGGGAGGAATAATAAAACGCTCTGCAGATGCTGGGGAAAAAATGCAAACTGTTTGTTGCCATGGGAGGAATTGCTACTTCTGGGATAAGGAAACAATACTGGGATGTTCTTCACAGAAACTGAAAAGAGGCAGGAACCTCTCAAAGCCCACCAGGAACAAAATGAGAAAAACAGATCTGTCTTTTTTCCTCTAAATTTACAGTCTTCCTCTGTTTAGCACCCCCTATTTCATGGCCTAACATGGAGCTACTTTGCAAAGCAAAAATGTGATCTGTAGAATCCCAGATCCAGTATCATAAATCAGAGTGTAGAAGGGTGGTTTGGGGGCTCTACTTGGCCCAGGAGGTAAACTTGCCTGCATGTTTCTCAGCATCCAGCCAACTAGCTAGGAGTCTTCAAGTTNAAACTGACACAAGAACAGAAAATCAAACACCACATGTTCTCACTCATAGGTGGGTGTTGAACAGTGAGAACACATGGACACAGGGAGGGGAGCATTGCACACTGGGGTCTGGGAGGGACAGCGGGGGGTGGGGAGGTTGGGGAGGGATAGCATGGGGAGAAATGCCAGATATAGGTGACAGGGGGATGGAGGCAGCAAACCACATTGCCATGTGTATACTTATGCAACAATCCTTCATGATCTGCACATGTACCCAAGAACCTAAAGTACAATTAAAAAACAAACAAACAAAAACCTATAGTCAGTCATGTGTTGCTTAATGATAGGGATACATTCTGAGAAAATAGTGGGTAATTTTTGTCCTCGTACAAACATCGCAGGGTGTACTTACATAAATCTAGATGACATGGAGTACTAGGCACACCTAGGCTATATGGTACAGCCTGTTGCTCTTACAAACCTACATAGCATGTTACTATACTGAATACTGTAGGCAATTATGTAACACAATGATATTTGTGTATCTAAACATATCTGGACTTACAAAAGGCACAGTAAACATAGGTATAAAAGATTAAATAGGTACATTTGCATAAGGCAGCTCCATTATAATCTTATGAAACTACCCCTGTATATGTGGTCTTTGGTTGACAACAACCTTGTTGTGCAGTCTGTATGACTGTATAAGATAGGCCTCAGAGTCATTTCTTCAAACCCAAGCTGCCATGTTTATGTAAAGCACAATGGAAATATGCACATATGCCACCAAAGTTTAGAAAGTATTATTTTAAAATATATTTTAGATAACAAAAGTTGAACAGAATTAGTAATAGTCCATTTGGGATTCCTAAAATAAGTAAAGTACAAATACATATCAGGTTGCCAAATTTAGCAAGCAAAAATGCAGGATTCCAGCTAAATTTGTTGCCAAAATTCCTTTTCTCCAAATTTCCTAAATCCTCATGTTCTTCCTGGACTAGAACCAACTGAGGGTGGTATTGTTTTCTGGGGTGGCACTGGGCCAAGGTCTCAGCTGTGTGGGCTGCAGACCCAGACTTCTGCTGGCGGAGCTCTCTGACCCCCTAGTCCATGTACCAAGCTAAAGGGTTTCATTCAGTTTTAACATTAAAAGGGATCACATTCTAGGAATGCAGTGATTGTGACCTAAAGAATTCAAGAGACAGGGTAAGTATAACATGACCAGAAAAGGAATTATTATTTATATTTTTCTACATTGTCTGGGTAAGACTTGCTTTTGTGGTCTTCATTAATAAAACATAGTGTCATCTTTTGAGGGTCACTAGCCGTCAGCATTTATGGGAGGCACTGGGGATGAGGCAGCTTCTCAAAGATAATGTAATCAATAAGAAAGAAATGATATTAGGGAACTGTGGAGACAAGAAGATCTATATTGCTTCAATACACACAAGTCCCAAAGAAGCATGGCATTATGAGTAATAATTTTGCCGCTACTTTTTTCTTGCTGAGAGAGATAGAAAATTAACCAAGAACAACATATGACAATAAAGAACATGAAGAGACAGTTTCTGGACCTACAGTATTCAGGAAGAGATGATTGTTACCTTGGCATTAGGAGGAATCTTCAAATTCACTGACTGGATAATACAAAAAAAAATTTAAGAAACTCTTCTCTACCCATTATATTAAACTATCATCAATCACTCAACATTGTATAGGTTTGTGATTTCTTAATGCATTATTCATTCAAATTGTTTATATGGAGAGGGGTCCTGCACAATCTCGAGGAGCCCAGCCAGAACCAGCACATAGTCCATGGATAGTACAGAAGAAATGGTGTCCATTTATTTCAGGAAACTCTTAGGTTCTCATCTACTTGTGGGAGGACATTATCCCTTTTAATGGTCTGAGAATTTACAAGCCCTCTAAGACATAGGGTATGTGGTTTGAAGGTGTTCCCCAAAAAGCATTTGTTATAAATTTAATCCCCAATACAACAGTGTTAGAAGGTGGAACTTAATGAGAGGTGATTAGGCCATGAAGGGAGAGGAAATAGATTAACTTAGTATTTGTGTTAATCATTTTTAAATCTCTTGCAAGGCCTACCTCATACTCTTTCACATGATATTTTTTCCCACACTGTATACCCAGCCCAATGCCTTACATATGAGTAACTGCATAATAAGCCCCATGGAACAAATTCTTAGCTCTTGCTCCTGGTAATGATTGCTCCATTAGGGGAGGATAAAAATTATTTTCCCCTTATCTAAGACATTTATTACTACACATAAATTTCTGAGAATGCAAGTAGCTTTAGGGATACCTTTGTTAGATCAAAGATCATCCTCACCCCTTCCTTTTCCTTGGGGAAGGACTAATTCAGGCTTCTGTGAGGATAAAGTTCAGTGTTATTTTCTTGTTCCATTATCCATTACTAGGTCTTTTCACGTAGAATCTTTGTAAATGCAGGTGTGTAAATAGCATTGTTTTCCATGAAAGGGAAACTTGCCTTTAGCAAGCCTCTGAACAGTTGTGCTCTGCACCTGCAGTAATAAAATTCGAGACAGATAATGTACTGAATTTTAATCACATGTTGCCTTGTTACATATTCACTGTTTAAAAACATTTCCTTTTTGTGGAGTTGTCAGTAAAAGGGTGGTGTTGCCAATTAAGCCACTGAATAGATTAGGGAGTGATTTTACACTGGGGAATGATTATAGTCTTGTATAAAAATAGCAGACATTTTGGTTAAAGTGAAAAAGTCTAGTAAACAAGCTTGATGAAAGCCCATTTCACTAGAAATGCTTCAAATATGCATATATATGTGTTTAAATTTGTAGATGAAGTTAGGTTTTTGTGCAAGTACACAAAAGAAAAGGATCATTTAGTCAACAGCTAGGTATATACAAATTTTGAGCACATCAGTATGTTTAATAAAATTGACCACAAAAGACAGCTTAATAGAATTCCCAGAGGTTTTAATTTTCTTATTTTTTAAATTTGACTTTAACAGTCTGACATTTAACATGTTGACTATTTCTATATTTATCTGAACATATTCATGCTTATTTAATAGATGTAACGTCAGTTGTTTTTTGAAGGGAATTATGAATGGAAAATGATGTTATATTTATTAGCCATTTATGTTTACTATATATGTTAATATTATCATTGCATTATGTTTTGCTATGTTTTCTGGAAGGTTTTTGATACCGTTTTTATATTGGAATATGGAGTTTTCTAAGAATTTCTTAAAGGAATGGAGATGAAAGTATACGTATTGTTCTTTATAAGAAAAAAGTAAATCTACAAGCTAGAATACAGTGAATTCAGGCTATACATACATTAGGATTTTAGAGATTCAGCACTGAATGGTTTGAGGTTTTCCAAACTTGCCTGTTCATTAAGAATCTTCTGCACAGGTTCCTTATTAAAATTTGATTCTTGGGTCTTCCAGCCCTACCAAACCAGAATCTCCAGGGAGAGGGGTTAGGACTCTATGTTCAGCAAGCACTCCAGGTGATTCCCGGGAGGCGGAGGTTGCGGTGAGCCGTGATGGCGCGATTGCACTCCAGCCTGGGTAACAAGGGCGAAGCTCCGTCTCAAAAAAAAAAGGAGTCTTCAAGTTCTAAGAGCAGAATTCAAACAGGCCTGAATGTATAAGCAGTTTTGCAGTCTCTGCTCACATTCATTTACTTTTGTCATGTTCACCAATAACTAGCACCAGAGTTAGTATGGAAGAACATTGATATAAATAAGCAAGAACACAGAGACCATCACTGAAATCAATCCACCACAGTGTTCCTAATGATTGAGAATATTCATGGCTCTCCCACATGCAAAATAGAATCAGCTCTTCCCAGGACTCCGCAAATTCTTATCTAATTTTGGCATCAGTGCCAAAGACCATTATATTGTGATATATAATCATTTTCAGAGGCAGCTTCTATGATATGGCTTCTTTCGATACAGAGTTTTTTAAAAATGTTACTTGTCTCTCACAACACACATACACGCGCACACACACACAATGTAACAGTGGTGAGACAGGGACAGACCACAGAAGACACTCCCATTAACAAAAAAGGGGAAATAACAAAGGCAAATATGGCAGTCAATAATCCATACAATAAGGTCACCTATTTCACCATTCAATAGCATTATAATTTTCTCAGTAAAAAACACATGAAAAAATAAATGAACCAGGATGTTGGAGGAATGGAATGCAGACTGGGACAAACGGAACTGATCATTTCTAGTCTCTATTTTATTTCTTTCTGCTCTGATTTTGATTTTCTTTCTTCTGGTAGCTTTATGCTTGATTCTGCTTTTACTACTTCTTTGAAGTGTAATTTTAGGTTGTTTATTTGATGCTTATTTTATGGCGTAGACATTTAATGTTATAAGCTTTCCTCTTAGGACTACTTTTGCTGCATCCTGTAAGTTTTTGTATGTTATGTTTTATTTTCTTTTGTCTGTAGATATATTTTAATTTCCTCTTTGATGCAATAGTTTGTCAGGAGCATATTGTTTAATGTTTCAAAGATCTATTAAGTTTCTTTATGTTCTCCTACTAATATCTAGTTTTATACCATTGTGGTCAGGAAAGATATTTGATTTAATTTTCATCTTACATTGTTAAGACCTCTTTTGTGGCCTAATGTATGATCTATTCTGGAGAATGTTCTATATACACTTGAGAAGAATGTGTATGCTGTTACTATTTGCTAGAACATTGTGTAATTGTCTGATAAATATGCTTTATCTTATGTGTAATTCAAGTCAGTGTTTATTTATTTTCCATCTAGATGACCTATTCAATAGTAGGGGATATTGAAATCCCCTGCTATTATTTTGTTGCAGTCTATGTATCCTTTCAGGTTTTTTAATGTTTGCTTTATATATGTAGATGCTTTGATGTAGTGTGCATACTGTGTATTAAAAATAATTACTCATGTCAGCTATTGTACAGCTAACATATTTTCTAAATTTTTCTAGCGGAAACTTATGAGTACTCTTCACCCTATGCAACTGCACCTTCGCCCTATGTGACTTCACCTTCACCCTATGTGACTGCACCTTCACCCTATGTGACTGCACCTTCAAAAGCAATTTATAGAATACATAGGGCTGGTTCAAGCTTTTCTAAAAACATATACTTTCCTTTACTGAATCAACTCCCTTCAGGTAATTTTTAATATTTTAGTATACAATGTGATTTTTAAAATAAAGCTACAACTAAATGTAAATAACCAAGTTGTAATAGCTTAGTCATATAACAGTTTGGCAAAGCATTAATGAAAGTAAACTGTGAATTAAGTTTATCTAACATATGTTTATTCTTAGCAGATGAGTAGCGTCGCGGGCATGTTTCTTCCTCCATTGTGACAATATTGGAACTCCATTTCTTTTCTCCACCTTCTTGTCGTGTTCACTACTATAGATTTTGTGGATGACTGAGATAAACTCATTTTATAATCTCTTTCTTATATTTATATGTCCTTCTTTTATTCAATCCCAGGGAGAGCATACAATAGAAAGACAACATAAGGATAGGTGAGAAGAAAAGTATATCATAGGTTTGGTTTTTCCCTTCCTTTCATTACCATATACCTAGGCTTCTAACTCCATTAATATCTAAGAACTAAGATTCAATTCTTTTCTGTCGCTCCAGAGGCATCATTATATAATTATCAACCTGGTACATTTTCTACAGTTAATTGAGTTTGAAACTTTTTTTTTTTTTTTTTTTTTTTTTTTTTTTTTTTTTGTTTTTTTTTTTCCATTTATTTATTTTATGGCATTTTAGGTTTTTTGGTAGACGTGAAGTCTTGCTCTGTCGCCCAGGCTGGAGTGCAGTGGCACAATCTTGGCTCACTGCAACTTCCGCCTCCCAGGTTCAAGCAATTCTCCTGCCTCAGCTTCCCAAGAGCTTGAACTTTTTAAAAAATTTAGATGATTTTTCTTTTATTTATTTTGTGCGCTAAATATACATGGCACTTTCTATCCATATAGGTTCTAAGTAAAAAATCAACAGGAAATGCAGACAGATGACTATATTTTGGTTTTTTACTATATACAATATAAAAGGAAAAAGAAAACAATAAGAAGATATTTGGACTTGCTGCTGGGAAAGCAAATGAATGTAAGCAAAGAAAGTGAATTCCATTTTCTTTCCCAGTGAGATAAAAGAAAAAATGGTCAGAAAATATATATAACAAAAGAGGAACATTTAAAATAATAAGCAAAATCCTGGGCTTCAGTGGATACAAAATAAAGTTGACAAGATATGCTAGGACCGAAAAGGGGAGTTTATTGGTTGACACTTTTAGCTTTTTTTTTTTTTTTTTTGAGACAGTCTCCAGGCTGGAGTGTATTGGTGCAATCTTGGCTCACTGCAACCTCCACCTCCCGGGTTCAAGCTATTCTCCTGTGTCAGCCTCCTGAGTAGCTGCATCTACAGGCATGCACCACCACACCCATCTAATTTTTGTAATTTTAGTAGAGACGGGGTTTCACCATGTTGTCCAGAATGGTCTTGATATCTTGACCACATGATCTGCCCAACTCAGCTTCCCAAAGTGCCTGGCCTCTCCTAGCTTTTTACAGCTTCTCAAGCTGGGTCAGTCATCTTTCATTATCTTTTAGATAAATGTAATTGATTTGGGGTTCACCTGTTAAATTCATATCACCCACAATACTACTTTTCATTAATGTAGTTTCTGATTTTTCCTACAATTTGAGTTTTCTTTTCTAAGCCAAATTCTTTTATTTGATGAAGATATTAATTATAAGCCCTAAAGAAAAGAGGAGGAGAATAAAATTAATAAATTGTCCAAATAATCTATTATCTATATTTATACTTTATGATTAGAGAGCAATAATAATGGTCTTCTGTTGTGGATTGAATAAAAATTATAATAGCATAATTTTTAAAAAATTTTCATGAAAGCATTCAGGCTTTGAATCTAAAAATAATGGCAGATAAACATTTTTCAAGCAAACACTTGCCTTAAGGAATGGAAGAATTGAATGTTTCATTTCTGTGCAAAAAATATACTGAAGAAAGTCAACATATTAATGTAAATTTCACTCACTAACTTTGAGAAGGTACCATCCAAATGTTTCACATTCTGCCTTTAATCTCAGCATTCTACCTCCAAATAAGCAGATGTTGAAACTAGTTTTAATGACATAGTTTTGTTTTTAGCAGCGCCCAAAATACATATCTTTACAATTGTATTTCTAGTATCTCCTCCTTAATCATAGCACTAGATTTCTGATTGTGGGTTATGAACTTTTTTTTAATAAAATGATAAAATGTTTTTATATAGAGATAAAAACTTATCTAAAAGTTTGCATTTTAATTATTCACATTTTTTGCTGTCCTGCAAAAAGGCTCATTCTCTGACATTTTTATCTATGAAATTTCTAGTCTTTATTTTTTTTAATAATTTTTACTTTTAGATTCAGGGGTTACATGCGCAGGTTCGTTAAATGGGAATATTACATGACATTGAGGTTTAGGATATGACTGGTCCCATCACCAGACAGTGAGCACAGTGCCCAATAGGCAGTTTTTCAGCCGGTGACTCCTTGTGTATCCTCACTAGGGATCTCCAGTGTTTATTGTTTCCATATTTATGTCCATGATTTCCCAAGGCTTAGCTCCTTGTAAGTGACAACATGCTACCACATTTGGCTTTCTGAACCTGTGTTAATTTGCTTTAGTCTTTCTTTTTCCTTGATTTGTACTATTATAATGCACTCTTGTAAATATCAAATACAAGGCAAGAAAAAACTCAGAGAATATTTGTGTTAGGTAAGCTGCTTCATCTAAATTACTGAAAAAAGTTGTAAGGAAACTGTGTTTCAGAAGACTAAGATTTATTTTGACATTTTAAAAGTTGAAATTACTTAATTTACCACGTAATAACACTGTTCTCATTTTTTTAGGGCATTCGAAAGTTGTTACCTTAAGCCAAAAAACTATTGACTTTACAAATACTCTGCCTGCTGTGACCACAATCATAAAACCTACCTATAAAGGTAAAAGAATCACTACAATATAGATATATAAAATTAAATCTTATATTATATTCTCATTGTCTCTGTTTGCCAATCTCAAACCCTCTGGGCTTCCTCCTCTAAACAACTAATCTTATGAGTGAGGCATAGTTTCCCAAACCTTTCTTCAAACATGTAAAAATATGTATATAAACACAGTGGTTTGTGGTTCTGAATAATAACAGGATTATATGCTTATCCTCCTCATTTTTGACCCAGGTAAATTGACAGAAATTTCTTTAATCTGTTACATTTTTAAGTTGCTGCATGATGTTCTAAAATGTGAATGTGTCATAATTTATGCAATGATTCCTCTATTGAATAACACTTTATCATTGTTTTTTGCCACTACAAGCAATGGTGCAATAAATACCATTGTTCATATATATTTCTATCACAGTGATCGCATTTCTATAAAAAAGAACATGTAAGTGAGGTTGGTGCATTAAAGGTATATATCCTTTTAATTGTAATAGATATTAGCAAACTTTTCAAATTACTATAGCTAGTAGTTCTGCTAGTAAATGCATGAAATGCCTATTTCCAAGCATCTAAGCCAGAACTAGACTTTTCATGCATTGGAAATATTAAGTATACTAAATAATATTGTTAAGATGTCATTATCACTCAAAGTGATCTAAGATTCAGTACAATCTCTATCAAAATCCCAAATACTTTTTCTTTAACAGAAAAATAAGAGTATTGTTTTTTTTTTTAATTCTTAAGACAGCAGTTCCCAACCTTTTTGGCAGCAGGGACCAGTTTTGTGGAAGACAATTTTTCCATGGAATGGCTTTGGGGGAGTGGTTTTAGGATAATTCAAGTGCATTACATTTATTGTACATTTTCTTTCCATTATTATTACACTGTAACATATAATAAAACAATTATACAATTCACCATAATGTAGAATCAGTGGGTGCCCTGAGTTTGTTTTCCTGCAACTAGGCGGTCCCATCTGGGGGTGATGAGTGGCAGTGACAGATTATTGGGCATTAGATTCTCATAAGAAGCTTGCAACCTAGATTGCTCGCAGGTGCAGTTCACAATAGGGTTTGCGCTCCTATGAGAATCTAATGCTGCCGTTGATGTAACAGGAGGCGGATATTGGATAATAATGCCAGCAATGAGGAACAGCTGTAAATACAGATGAAGCTTGCTTCACCTGCTCACCTCCTGCTGTGCAGCCCAGTTCCTAACCTGCAATAGACTGGAGGCTGGAGACCCCTGTCCCTATAAGGTACACTGATAGTCAAAATAACCTTGATAAAGAACAAAATAGGAAGACTTACACTTCATAATTTCAAAACTTACTGCAAAGCTACAATAACCAAAACAGTATGGTACTGGCCTAAAGACAAACACATAGTTTGATGGAATAGGATAGAGAGCTGAGAAATAAACCTTCACATTTATGGTCAAATGATTTTTGACAAGAGTGTTAAGACCAATACGTAGGGGAAAAAATAGTCTTTACAACATATGATGCTGAAAAAACTAGATATCCACATGCAAAATAATGGCGTCGTGCCCTTATATTATACACACAAAAATTAAAATAGGCCCAAAACCTAAAACTAAGAGCTATACTTTAAAACCCTTAGAAGAAAACATAGAAGAAAGTCATTGGATTTGGCAATGACTTCTTAGATGATACCAAACACACTGTCCAAAAACATAGACATCTTAGACTTTATCAGAGTTTAAAACTTTCAGTCATCAATGGAAAATATGAAGCATAAAAAGACAAACCAGAGAATGGGAGAAAATATTTTTAAACCATATACCTGATAAGGTATTAATAATCCAGAATATATAGAGACCTCCTACAACTCAACCACAATAAAACTCAATTTTAAAATGGGGACAGGCCAGCCTTCTACAGAAACACAGTGTTGGCTGATCTGATCACTCTACCCTCCGGACTGAAACACCCACAGCACCCTGCCTCCCTGGATCAGGATAGCCCTCTAGAGCCTGAATTGCTGAGGTGTCCCACCTCCCTAGGAGTGAAGCCAACATTGCACTGCTCCACACCTCCCAGGGCCAAAGCCACAGATGTGCCCCCATCATTCTTGGACCCTTGCTGCCACTACACCTAACCTCACAGAGCCTGAGCCACTGCTGTGTCCCATTACTTCAGGGCTAAGAGTCACTACCTCTTTCTTGGTGCATGTATTGCCACTGTGCCCTATTGGTTCTGTAATTGCAACTGTACCTTGCTCATTGGGGCCTGAACCTTTGGAAACCCTCTTCCTTCCCAGAGCCATGCCATTGCTACACACTAACACCCAGGATGAGTCACAGCAACATGCCTGCCCCTGGGCCTGAGATACTGGGAAGTACCCTAGAGTCACAGTACTTGGCCTTGTGGGAGAGCCGCATTACCAATGCCTAAGAGAATAAACCTGAACCTACACCGCAGGTGCCATGGCAGCTCAACAAGACACTGAGCCCCAGACTTCAGCTTCACAGGCACTCTGAGCACCTGTTCCCTGTAACACAGCACTGCTGTGGCTGCGTCTGGCCTGTGTCAGGCTCAACACCAAAAAAGATGTCTTCAGGTAAATTTTCCACTATGGAGAAAACTAGAACAGAAGGATCTTTAAAGTCCTTTACACTAAGAAATGGACTCTACTACTGTACCTATTCAGAACCAGAACGACTGCACCTTGCCCAACTGATGCCTGCAGACAATATCTGAAGGTGACAATCTCCCCACAGAAGCCACTATAAAGACAAAAATTAGAATTGCAGGAAAGATGGCCAAATAGGAACAGCTCCAGTGTGCAGCTACCAGTGAGATTGATGCAGAAGGCAGGTGATCTTTGCATTTCCAATTGAGGTACCTGCTTCATCTCATTGGGACTGGTTGAATAGTGGGTGCTGCCTAAGGAGGGTGAGCTGAAGCAGAGTGGGGCATCACCTCACCTGGAAAGCACAAGGGGCTGGGGAACTCCCTCCCTAGCCAAGCAAAGCCATTAGGGACTGCACCCTGCATTCCAGCTCAGATAGTCTGCTTTTCCCATGCTCTTTACAACCTGCAGACCAGAAGATTCCCTCCAGTGCCTACAACACCAGGGCCTTGGGTTTCCAGCTCAAAACTGGGCATCCATTTTGGAAGACACTGAGCTAGCCACAGCAGATTTTTTTTTATTTTTTCATAGCTCAGTGGCACCTGGAACACTAGGAAAGAACTGTTCACTCCCCTGGAAAGGGAGGTGAAGTCAGGGAGTCAAGTGATCTGGTTTGGCAGGTCGCACCCCCACGAAGACCAGCAAGCTAAATCCGCTGGCTTGAAATACTTGCAGCCAGCACAGCAGCCTGAGCTTGGCCTGGGACATTTGAGCTCTGTCGTGGGAGGGGTGTCCACCATTGCTGAGGCTTGAGTAGGTGGTTTTAACATTACAGTGTAAACAAAGCCACTGGGAAGCTTGAACAACTGGGAAGAGCCCATGGCAGCTCAGCAAGGCCTCTGTAGGGCAGACTTATCACTAGATTCCCACCTTGCTGGGCAAGGCATCTCTGAAAAAAAGGCAGCAGCCCCTCAAGGAATTATAAATAAAGACCCCACCTTCCTGGGAAAGAGCACCTGGGAAAAGGGATGGTTGTGGGTACAGCTTCAGCAGACTTAAACGTCGCTGCCTGGCACCTCTGAAGAGAGCAGCAGATCTCCCAGCACAGCATTCAAGCTCTGGCAGACAGACTGCCTCTTCAAGTGGCTCCCTGACATCCATGTATACTGACTGGGAGACACAACCCAGTAGTGGCTGACTTTAAACCAACTTTAAAACAAAATAGACTTTAAACTGACAAAGATCAAAAGAGGCCTCATAAGTCCAGACTGCCTCTCCTCCCCAGAGAGATTACAACTCCTCACTAGCAAGGGAACAAAACAGGATAGAGAATGAATTTGATGAACTGACAGAAGCAGGCTTCAGAAGGTGGGTAATAACAAACTTCTCTGAGCTAAAAGATCATGTTCTAACCCAATGCAAAGAAACTAAGAACCTTGAAAAAAGGTTAGATGAAATGCTAACTAGAATAACCAGCCTAGAGAAGAATATAAATGACTTGATAAAGCTGAAAAACACAGCACGAGAACTTTGTGAAGTTTCAATAGCCAAATTGATTGAGTAGAAGAAAGGATATCAGAGATTGAAGATCAACTAAATGAAATAAAAAGAGAAGGCAAGAAAAGAGAAAAAAAGAGTGAAAAGAAATTAACAAAGCCTCCAAGAAATATGGGATTATGTGAAAATAGCTAATCTATGCTTGATCAATGTACCTGAAGAGAATGGGGAGAATGAATCCAAGCTGGAAAATACTCTTCAGGATACTATCCAGAACTTCCCCAACCTAGCAAGGCAGGCCAATATTCAAGTCCAGGAAATACAGAGAACACCACAAAGATATTTCTCAAGAAGAGCAACCCCAAGGCATATACTCATTAGATTGACCAGGGTTGAAATGAAAGAAAAAATACTAAGGGCAGTCAGAGAGAAAGGCCAGGTTACCCACAAAGGGAAGCCCATGAGACTCACAGCAGATCTCTTGGCAGAAACCCTACAAGCCAGAGGAGAGCGGGGCCAATATTCAACATCCTTAAAGAAAAGAACATTCAACCCAGAATTTCATATCCAGCCAAACTAAGCTTTATAAGTGAAGGAGAAATAATATCCTCTATGGACAAGCAATTTCTGAGAGATTTCATCACCACCAGATCTGCCTTACAAGAGCTCCTGAAGGAAGCACTAAACACAAAAAGGAAAACTAGTACCAGCCACTGCAAAAATTATCCAAATGGTAAAGACCAACGATGCAATGAATAAACTGCATTAACCAATGGGCAGAACAAACAACCAGTAACAAAATGGCAGGATCAAATGCACACATAACAATATTAACGTGAAATGTAAATGGCCTAAATGCTCCAATCAAAAGGCACAGACTGGCAAACTGGATAAAAATCACGACCCATT